TAAGTACAGAGAAAAATTGTAAAGTACAGTTTGCCAATGATTTAATAAAAGGCAATTTGGTGATCAGTGTTTTTTGTCGTATCATTGTAAATGAAAAATATATCTATAGATCATTATTCACTTTATAAGTGTAAATAACAATTATAATGTGTAAAGTGTGGGAGAGCCATGCTTTGGCACGAATGGGTCGGCTTGACCGGAGTGATATGACGGCCTCACAGAAAACCGACGTGAAACAACGCTTGCGTTGTGTTTCGTCGTATGAGTGAGGTAGCTGGAGGCACAATTACCTCCCCTCCTCAGTCTCTCCAATTCCCGAATCCTCCACAATCCTCAAATTCCCAATTCCCAAAAGGCCGGTAACGCACTTGTAACGCCTCTGGTGTTTCAGGTGTCTATGGGTATCAGGTGATCTGCCTGCTCGTTTGTCGGCTTATGCATTAAAAACATAGAAAGGAAGAAAAATAATTTATTCGCCACCAGACATGGACCACCGAATATTAACACACAAAATAAACATTGAAAAACAAAAATAATAAATAATACAATATAAGAACATAAAATAACAAAAAAAAAACAGCAGTAAAAAAAACAATGAATGCAAAAAAAATACGTATTACCTAACTAGACACTCGACTGAACGATATTGACAGTGATAATTAACACTGTTATAATTATTAAGCCTGTACACGATTACTTCCTTCAAAATCGTTTTATGCACTAACCTTTAATTCGAAAGAGTAATTTAGGGTATAAAATCCGAAAACAAATTAAGTGACTTGACATTTCAAGGTCACATAGAATTCTGAAGTAAAGTTAATTTTTTAGCTGCATCGTGAGTTACATCATCATCAACAGCCTATAAATGCCCAATGCTGAGCAAAGCCTCTTCTCACACGGAGAAGGTTTGAGCATTAATCACCACGCTTGCTAAATGCGGGTTGGCGATTTCAAGTAGTTGCTGAGTAAGCAACTACTTGAAGCATGTAAGCGAGCAACTTATGTGATGACTAGAATTGTAAATTTAAAAAATAAGTCTGTGCTATATAACGATAGCATTGTAAAATAGTTTAACTGGATTATATTATTAGTATCTTCATCCTGACATATCTGTCTATACATTTATAATCTATTTCTTATAATAAAATCATAGGCAAGTGAAAACTGTAAATTGAATATTTTTTTTAAAGAAGGCTTTGGGCGTGATTTACAGTCGATACCGATACCAAAAATATGTTTTTTAGAATTTTTGTCTGTTTGTTTGTATGTATGTATGTCCGGGAAGAACTCAAAAAGTGCTGCATGGATTTACTTCAAATTTTGCATGAATATTACTAACAGGTCGAGTCAACATATAGGCTACATATTATCATGCTATCACCTACGGGGGAGGAGCTGTGAATCACTATTCCACGCGGATGAAGTCGCGGGCTCAGCTAGTTCATCAATAAAAAAATAGACTGTAATTTGAATTGTATATAGGTAGTTTGTTTTTCCAATTAGTTTGTAATCATCAGTCTATATCTTTTGACTTAATATTACAAACACTAGCAGTAAATAAAAGTAGATAATAATAGCTTACGTACAGTGCTTTTATTATCTACTATAATTATTATTCACAAATTATGATGACTGTATCTCTATAATTATAGATTTTTATTTAATCACCACATCTGTCAAATTTTAATGTTTTTCAAATGTCATACCCACATTGAAGTAGCACATCATCCTGTACACACATAAAGGATTATCTCCACTCCACAGCGGCGTACACATTGCAATTGCGATTGCAATAACAAGGATTAATAGTTCAAGTGCAATTGCAATAATAAATAATATATTACTTTTACAGAACCCTAATGCGGAATGTATGGAACACAGTTATCAGTAACATCGGTGTTAGAAGTGTAAACAAAGTAAATGGCTTGTTCAAATCATGGGGGAAAATCGTACCGACATATACCATGGACTTATACTCGTTGGAAAAGTTTAAAAAATATAAGAAGGACTGGAGTTGTAAGTATCAAGTATCTGTTTTTGTGTTATTTGTGTTTTATATAGTTACCTACTTCTTGTAAATTGATTTAGGTGCAAATTCTAGATTGTGGTAACGTATTTCGGAATTATTTAGATAATTAGTTGGAAGTACAGCATTTAGTTACAAAAACTTTGACAGATAAAATTTTTTCTAATTTACACAATACACACGATGCAGGGGAAAATCTTTGTTTAAAATTTTCCTGGTATTTATCAACGTTTATTTAACATTTAGGCATTGCACGTTGCATTGCATTGTATAATAAGAATAAATATATAAATTATACATTTTTATAGTGCCTCAACTCAACTAAAACTAATTTAAAGTTATCACAATTTTAGAGGTCAGTTGTGAAGTTTGTGAATTTTATTCGATTTTATATTTCAGTTGTTAGAGTGACATAATCAGTTTTATTTTCGCAATAAAAACTTTTTAGTTTATGACAACAACAGGAGTATTAAACGATATAATGGCATCTTACCGCTAAAGATAGTCCGCTTCGATTCTGAATTAGGATAATTTTTTTAATATGGATAAGAATTTAAGATCAACCTTAAAATTAATCAAAAATGTTGGGATGGGGAAATACAATAATTTTTATCAGCTTATAATTTGTTATGTTGCCGGCACAATTACAAAAAAGTTGCCCCACACTAGGATTTTCTCCTAGGTTCGTTTATAAACATACAAGTTCACATACACATGACACGTAGACCCGGAACAACAATCTGTGGATCACACAAAGAGTTTTTATTTATTTATTTATGCACAACACAGAGACAGTATACAAGACAACACATAAATAAATAAATTGGAGGTGCATAGGTACTACATATTCCCGTAGGAATCTCTTCCTGCAGTCCTTCGACAGGAAAAACGGTAAAATACTAAGACACTGTGCGTGCATGCACTGGGCATGAACAAAGAAAAAGAGTTGTTCCATGCGGAGGTGGGAAGTCAAATTAAATTAAATAATTTGGCTTTCTAAGATTTAAAAGAACCTGTGTATAAAGTTTGCACCACCCAAACACAGACTAAAAATAGCATCCCAGTGATACTACAACGAAACAATACTTACAAAACAAAGAATTACTTCTGGACCTATCTCAAAACTTTATACTAAACAGTAATTCATTGTCCGACTAACAAAACTTACTAAACTAATCAGCAAATTTTAGTGACTTCATATCCAGCCATAATGTAATCTAGGACTAAGTACAAAGATATATTTTTCCCAAGAGCTTAAATACTAAAAGGAAGCCTAAAAGCAAACAAGTTACGCCGAAATACGGCATTACGTTCATTTGAGCGGGCACCTAATGAAATATTTTATAGTTGTTTTTAAAGTACTTGTATTTCTGTGTGGTTGATTTTACGCTGTGGAGTCTATTTCGTGATTTATGACTTATGTAAAGTACCTATTTGTTGATAGTTGAGGAAAACACAGTAAAAGGGAAAATAGTATTAATACTCTGAAGTACTCGTAAATAGAGTAAAATAAAAAAATAACTTAACTGTGTCTATGTGCGTGCGTGTGTGTGTGTGTGTTTGTTTTAAGTACTATCCGAGGACATGCACCTGAATACACAAGGAACTTCCGAGGACATTTTCAAACCGAGGACATTTTCGGGGGTCCTCGGATTGACTTATCCACTGCATCTTATTCTACGTGCGATTCTGAACCTAAATGTATAAATAATAAGAAAAACTCAACCAAACCTCGGTTTGATCAAGAAAATTCATGTCTACACTCCGACAGTGTGTGACCGCTACGCGGCGCCACCATCGATTCTTACACACTTGCTTTACACATTTGTTAAATTTTGTAATATTATCCGAGGACTAATGTGTAAATTTAACACACCTGTCCTCGGATGGGTTGCTGTATCAGACAGTGTGTATTCCGGTGCTCGGAATGGTAAGTGGACCAGATAGTGTGTATTAAGACGCTTAGCTTACCCGCGCTAAGCCGCTGTCATCTTAAAGTTCTCGGATTGGTAAGTGAATCAGACAATGTGTATTCGAGTATGAGTATTTTTACGGATTCATAGGTTTTATAGAGTTAACAAAACAGCAAAGTAAAAATATTAAGTATATATTTCTCTTATACATAATTATATCGTTTATCACTTACATTTATAATAAAAAAGAAGTGGTTTTAAACTTAAAACTATTAATTACGTAATATTATTTATTCAATGAATAAAAATCAAAACTAAAATCTAATTCTCAAAATTCTTGCATAGTTTTTATATTAATCATTATTATTTAATTATTCTCTTGGTAGGATAAATGGATAAATAAACATTTATTGACATTTATTTTTGTTATACATTTTAGTATAATTATTTATTAATAGTTAAACAAAACCTTAAACTTTTATGTTTTTTAGGCAATCTCTGTTATTAATGGCACTTTAGGTTTATACCTCGGAACCTAGTTCGACTAAAGGGCTTTTCGTGAAACTGTTTGAATAAAATTCTTAAAATATTACACAAAAATATTTACTCAGAAAAATTTGCTGCTCTTCATTATTTAAGGCTAACTATTACCTGAAGAAGAAGTAAGTACCTTTTGTAATTGAGAGCAGTAAATTTTGATCGGTATACATTTTTGACTATTATTTTAACAATACAAAAAGTTTCATAAAAATCCGTTCAGTAGAGCTGTGTTCCAAGCTTTGGATTTTTTTATGTCTAATGTGCTTTCACAACATAGATTATTATTATTTATTGCTCATGCTACCAATAAAATTAAATATCAATAATTATCTTAATATTTTACATGAACCAGAATTAAAATACATCTACTTAATTTAATGGCAATTAACAAAAAAAAAAAACACTTAATTATGAACATCTTTAAGAGTAATCATTATCATTATCCCAATAATCTTAACTTTGGCTGTTTTATTTTGGTATATTAACAGTCGTAATAATAAAGGTCATCTAAAATAAATCTCCTACTTCTTTCGGTTTCTTTGAATTATGTTAGAAACATAATATTTAATTCCTTTCCAATCCCTATCTTTTAATGTCTGTGCATTTTTCTCCAAACATTCTTCACAATCACTTTTTCCAGGAACCTTTTGCCTGATGATAGCTCTCTCAAAGTATTCTTCTACTACATTTTTTTCCTCTGCAGTCCATATCTTCTTTTTCGATGTTGTAGCAGTTGTTACTTTCTTCTTTCTGGACTTTTTCTTTGATGATGTTTTGTTATTTTCAGGGTGTTCTTCGTTACAATCAGAGTGGTCTTCGTGCATGTCTTCTTGAAAAGTTTGGGCAGGTAGATCGAGTACATTTGTTTCAGTTTCACTATTCGTACTTTCATCATCATCGGAAATTTTATTGGTATTTATATTTATTTCGTCTAAGTTCTTCCCCTTAAAGTTGTGTAATTTTTCTTTTTCTGATGCTATCAATATTTTGCTTATTTTAGCCAACTGGACAGTAGATTCCGGCAATCTATAGTATTCTCGGTGAACCCGTATATCGTGACCCATAAATGTAGCCAACTGATCTAGCTCGTTATTTGTCAAATTTAATATTTGTGACATTGTTGCAACATTTTTTCTCAATTTTGTGGAAGTAAGATTTTCCGGATGTTTAGCTCCTGATGATATAGCAAATGTTCTCATTACATCACTGCCACGAAAGTGAGACAGTGGAGGTAAAGCGAAGAAATAATCATTTTCTTTTGGTATACCAACGTGGTATCTATAAAGCAGTAAGATGTCGTATGCTTCAATTAGTTTTGGGTACAATATAACTGGAACTTTTCTTCCTTTTTTCCCACGCACTTCAAACCGAATAAATGCTTGCGAGATAGCAATTTCAAATTCAGAGAGTTTTTTGTCTACATCCTTGGGATTCATTGTAGTTAGGTAACTTTTCACCGGAATTCTCTCCACCTCTCCCGCTCTTCTTCTGTTGAATAATAAAGTCTGCGCGAGAGCAATTTTTGCTAAACTAGTCCAATTATTAATTGTCACTTCTGCATTTTTTAAAAGCGTTATATATTTATTTATTTGACATCTTCTGCCAATGGCAACCTATCTGGCATATTCCATATGTTTCTATACAAAGTTGTTAATGCACCGGTAGAAATATTTGTGGACCATTCAACCCCCGTAAAATATTTAGGTCTAGGTACGAAATATTTAGGCAGAGGTCCTCGTTTTGTATGCGTGGGACTCTTCGAAAAGTCCTCAGATTGTTTTTGAAAAGTCTAACACAAGGTCCTCGCATTGTACGTAACTAAAGGAACGGTGTGTGAAAATGAGTCCTCGGACTGTCATGTCCAGGCGGGTGAGTAGGTCCTCGGAAGGCACACACAAACGTCCTCGAAAGGATGTGGCTTGAAGAATGAGCAGTGTATTTGAGGTCCTCACACTGTTCATAAAAAAATGGCAGAAAAAACGTTTTGCTAGCACTACACAAACAGACTCATCAAATTATATCTCGAATTCTGATGCCTTATATCTTATCAAAAATATCGTAGGAGGCCGTTAAGACAGTATTTCAGACCGTCCTCGGATTGTTCATAAAAAACTATAGTCCTCGCAAGGACGTCTATACAAACAAGGGTGTGTGTGTGTGTGTGTGTGTGTGTGTGTGTGTGCATATGTGTGTTTGTGTTGTATACCCATGTTAGGCGCCTTTTTAACACGAGTTAAAGAATTGAGTTCATGCTCTAAGAAAAAGTAGTGAGTCATACTCATGGGTTATACAAACAGGAATACATATTTTCCTTTCTCATAATAAAATTGTATTATACCTACATATAATAGAATGATCTATATCTGCGTTCAAAACAAGTAATAAGTTAGTCGAATAAAAAATATCAATCATAAAATCAATGTGATAAAATCACGTACATAATCTTGCAGTAAAAAGTCCCGTGTTCTAATGTTTATGTACTTCTACCCAGATCCGGTAAACATTCGCTTCCAAGAACCGGTAATACCGGAGAAAGAAAAACCATGTTCCACCTTCCAAGCCGCCATGAAGGTGACCTTGACTCTTGGACAATGTTTCGGATTGAATCCAGTTCAAGGCATTCGTGGGAATGAACCTGCTAAGTTAAGGTATGGTTTTTTTTACCCTATTATTTATTTCGGACTTTACGTCTGTAAAAATTCAAAGCAATCGGTTTAGTATTTACGGCGTGAAAGCGGAACAAACAAACAAACAAACTCACTTTGCGATTTATATTATTAGTAAGGATGTCTGAAAAGCTGACATTAACACTTCACATTTTTAAGTCGGTCAATTAATATACTAAAACCTTTATCTAGGTGTAACATACACTTTTCTGAAACACTATATCAAAATCGGTTCAGCATACGCCAGATAATGGCGCACACAACATACAGGTCAAACCTTTTTTGAAGTCGATTAAAGAATTATTGTTTGTTTGTTACTCCACTTCATAACGGCTGAAAGGCTTAAGATGGAATATTGAACAGGGGTAGATTATGTCTGTAATAACATAAGACGATGAAATAGCGAAGCCGCTTGAAGCCAGTCGTAAATATAAGAAACTACATACTTCTGCGCGGTTTCACACACTCTGCTCAGCTCCTATTGGTCGTAGCGTGATATTTCATAGCCTATAGTCTTCCTCGATAAATAGGCTATCTAACACAGAAAGAATTTTTCAAATCGGACCAGGAGTTTCGGAGATTAGCGCGTTCAAACAAACAAACAAAAAAACAAACTCTTTAGCTTTATAATATTAGTATAGATGAGAGTAATAGAATTTAAATCTACATATATCATCTTTTCCAGATTTAAATTTCTGTCATGGCGCTGCGCATACACGGCAATATCTTTATTGGGCCAGTTTACTATGGCATTCGTACTATTCCTCAGCTTGTTCAAAGAATCATCTTCTACTGTGGACACTGCAAGTTAGTACACATATTTGCAAGCATTATTTTATGTAGGGACTATCTAGGGTGCTTACTCTTGAAACCAATCTCAATGTCAATGTATTTTTAATCCAGTACAATCTCAATAATTATTCAATGTCAAACCTATACAACCCTAATCGTAGCTGTTAAAATAGCATTCAGAGTACGGAATATAAAGCCAAACTCCATTTAGTTCATTCAATATGCACGCGCAATACGAATGCAATGGGCGCTAGTGTTATAACTCAAGAGTACGAAATTTTACAATGTTGATGTTGTATGTTGATCGATCGGAATTGGATTCAAGATTAAGCCCCCAGGGCTGTCCAAACTATATACCGCGGCCTAATTAAGTTTATTACAAAAGCTGGTGGGCCAGTAAAATAAACATCAATTCCATCTAAACATAATAGAAGCGCATGTCTTAAACCTCCGGGTCAACGAGACGTTCCTTAATTCGATAATATCAACTGAATAACAGCTAGCTTTCACTCTAGTCTTGTGTAAGCTTAAGTGTCTAACCGACAGACAACGCACAATCCAAATGACACGACGTTTATGATCTTTCGGGCATGTAGAGGAGAGCACTAAATGATGATTTTTGTAAATTCTCAAAGGTACAGCAAATACCCTTGATGGTAGAACTTAGTATACTGTAACTTTTATAACTGTGGGAGAGCCATGCTTCGGCACGAATGGGCCGGCTCGACCGAAGTGAAACCACGGCCTTACAGAAAACCGGCGTGAAACAACGCTTGCGCCGTGTTTGTGTAAGTGAGGTTACCGGAGGCCCAATTACCCCCCTCCCTAGTCTCCCGAATCCCCGAATCCTCCACAATCCTCAAATTCCCAAGTCCCGGCCAAAAGGCCGATAACGCACTTGTTGCCGATTGCTTACCATCAGGTGATCCGTCTGCTCGTTTACCGGCTTATGATATAAAAAAAGTTGGTGTGAATAAGTATTTTACATAGTAGAGCTGGTTACATAACATAACATCACGCCTTTTATCACTGAAGAGATAGACAGAGACGCACATTACAGCACACTTAATGCCACTGTATAATGTAACACCCACTTTTCACTATTTATTTTGTGAGCCCTATTTAATAGGGGTGAGTCTATCGCCATATACCGGTTACAATTCCAGACTCCGTGCTACTACTGAAATTTGTTTAAAAACCCATTTAACAATTGTCAAATAAAAATGTGTTTTTTATGGGATAACTCGGTAAACGAGCATATGGATTTCCTGATGGTAAGCAATCGGCATCATCCACGGATACCCAAAACAACAGAGGCGTTACAAGTGTGTTACCGGCCTTTTGGGGATTAGGAATATAAGGATTATTTTAGATTCGGGGATTGAGAAGATTGGGGGATCAGACACATCTATTTCTTTGTATAAAATCTATTAATGAAACTAATTGTCATTTGGTTCCAGCCACATTATTATTCTACGGTTTCGGTTTCACAACGACGATATTATTTTTACGGATCGCAACAAAATGGCCGCAGTTGTGTATGGTTATAGCGAAGGCAGAATCTGCTGAACCAAACACAGATGCCAAGTTGAATAGAAAGTTTAACATGGTTTGTGTAATAATACTGTTATTGGCTTTTGGTAAGTGTTACTTAAGTGTTACATCTTATACTTATTATATAAAGCGGAAGAGTTTGTTTTTTTGTTTGTTTGTTTGTTTAAACCCGCTAATCTCCGAAACTCCTAGTCCGATTTGAAAAAATCTTTCTGTGTTGGATAGCCCATTTATCGAGGAAGGCTATAGGCTATAAAACATTACGCTACGATTTAAATGCGCTGAGCAGAGCGAGTGAAGTAAGTCTCAAGTTTTAAGTTAATGTATCAGACGGACATTAAAATAAAATTTTGGAAATTACCATATTACGCGATTAAAGACGAAAATCAAATTAATTTATTATGTCTCACGAAATATGTGAAAATGTTTAGTTGTGATTAATTATAATTAATAAATAATATCAGTTAAGGTGTAATATTTTATTATGTTAGATAATCTGTTTTCAGTGGAGCACGGGTTTTCAGAATTACATGGTATATCTATAGCACTAGATTGCCACCCTGAAAAGCCTTTGTATGAAACGTTTATAAAGGGCAGTTTTGCCTGGCTATTTTTATTTCTACCATACAACGATTTCATAGGATTTCTTGCCCATGTAAGTATTAACTGCATACTGTAAAGTTCAATTCCCGGGTCGGGCGAAGTATTACTGGGTTTTTAAAAGTTCTCAGTAGTAGCACGGAGTCTGGAATTGTGCACGGTATATGGCAATAGGCTCACCCCCTATTACATGGGACTCATGACATAAATAGTGAAAAGTGGGTGTTACATTGTAAAGTGGCATAATGTGCACCTCTGCCTACCCCTTCGGGGATAAAAGGCGTTATGTTATGTTATGTAAAGTTCATTTTTCGGTTGTAACGTTGTTATTTTCATTGTAGCTGTATTAAACTATAGTCATCATTTTCCGACACTTTGTAAATAATAAAAATTTTACATTCCTAGAGGTATTTCAGATGTATTGAGTCGTAGTGGCCTGGTGGTTTACGACGCCTACTTCTCATACATGAGGGTGCGGGCTCGAAACCTACCAACTGCACGTACCAATGTGACTTCTTCCGAGTTATTTCTATGTCTCGGGTACTTTAAATGAAAAGTAACATAAACAACCTCATGCATAAGAAGCGGGCGTCTTAAACCTCCGGACCACCACGGCATTTTATTGATTGATTTAAATTGATTGTAGTATTTACAAAAAATTGTTTGTCAGGTCGCCTCGCTGGCCAAGAGGTTGCAAGTGCGACTGCCGGACAAGGGGTCCCGGGTTCGATTCCCGCGTCGGGCAAAGTATTACTCAGTTTTTAAAAACCTCAGTAGAAGCACGGAGTTTGGAAATGTGCCCGGTATATGGCAATAGGCTCACC